CTATTCGTTGATTTACCAGTGCTATGAGTATGCTACTCATGGTTTTCGGTATACTGTCGTGAATATACATGTAACAAAGTATTGTTTGTTGAATCTGTGCACACCTTCTATCAATTTCCGCTGGAGAAAGAAACCGATTGATATAAAGGAAGCAGCTGGTTACGCTACCGTATTACTGTTAACTCAATATAATGCCACTTAGCACTGGTGCATATTCATTTTTTGTTTGGGTGCCGGCATTCTGAGGGATCTCAGACGGCCAATGACGTCCAATGACGTCGTCAGCTGCTCCATCCCCCAGCCGTGACTGCCGCAAACTTCCTTTTACATGCTCTATTTTTCAGATCGGTAATGTGTAGCGATCATTAGCGACTACGGCCCTCATGCATGTTTCGCATGAATCCGCAACAAGTTCAAATCAATCGTAGCTCTCGAATAGAAGGCTTCTTTCTACAAAAGTAACATAATCTTTGGGAAATTTTTCTCGAAAAGTATCAAAAGGGGCAAACACGAAACTTACTCGAAAGCTGATGCGATGATGACGATCACTTTTCTAGCGTTCGGCCGATGATTGACACTGTTGAAGTTGGCAGTTGCGAGTCGAATAGCCCTGCAAATTCAGAAGTTCATGATTACTCCCACAATGACATGTTGAGCACATGGGTCAAGCTCAGTCTCTAGAGCTCACGCCTCGATATTTGTTCCTGTTGAGCCGTGGTAGGTTAGATCCAATTTGTTCAGGAGTTCGTTCGTAGATTTCCAGTAGCTCAGATTGAAATGCATCTCGGCGTCTGCTCCATAAGTTATGAACCTAGAACATCAATGAGGCATATGTTTCAATGCACTAAATACTGCTTAAGTTGTATGTTGAAGAAGCATAAATGTGTCTGCTGTAAGGGCAATTGGGTCTCCAAGGAAGTGGAACATGGCACTTTCGCAGACGGAGCACGAGCTGGTAGCGACGCGCCAAGGCCATACTCATTCCTTAGCGGATGATGAAAGGGGAAGAACCACAGAGAAGAAAAGGGAACACAAAGCCAAGCCTTGGTGCTGTTCCTGGCGCTGTTGCGAATGCGTTACCGAACGATCGCGGATAGGTCAGGCTGGATCATGTCGGGAGTACTTCGCAGGCGTCGGTGCACGCAGTGCTCTGTTTGAGAAACCCGCGTGTTACGCGACAGGCCCAGAACTTGAAACCTGACTGAGAATCCTTTGTTGGCCACTGATTTCCACTTTGATGCAACTCTCACGGTGATGCAATGTTTAGCGCTCACGCTTCTTCTGGGACGTTTACAGTTCTGCTTTGATGCTTAGCCATTCGGTGGCATACCGCGCCGATAGCTCCGCAGAGAGGGCCATGCTGAATCCCTAGGGCATATCCTTCGCTGCGAATGGCGTGTCGTTCATAACCCTGGGAAGGTCCGCCTATCTTTCTACTAGGTAAGGTTCCCTTCTCTGGCCTTATGAAGGAACCATCTTTTGAAGCTGATAACATATCGGCTTGATCGCTGACTTGGCCTTTGAAGGTAATGATTACGATGATCACGAAGGCTGGGGAGCGTTGCGGTTTTGGTGACGTTATCGGAAATCATTGGCCGAAGGCCTTTCAGGGGGCTCAAACACACCCCATCGCGCTGACTAATGGCGCGCGATGGGCACAGTAATTCACTTTGGCTCCGTTGCTTCATGTATGATGAGAAGTGATGTCCGAACTTGATTTTATAAATCTTGCATGATTTTCAGAGTACGATATACATAATAATTGCTAAACTTTCAACCCATTGACAACAACTTCTACTAGGCTAACATTTCATTGTTTTCACCTTCTCTTCCGCTTTTTTTACCTTCCTCCCATTACGTCGCTTTAGTAGTTTTCACGCTGTTGAGTGATTTTTGAAGTATTGTTTGGGCAGGCAGTTGTTTGAGCAGCCGAACGTTGGCTATTGTCAATCTTGATTGGAAGCTTAGCAACTAAATCTGTCGTAAAATGAGAAGCTCTGTTTTGGATCCACTCCCTTTGTAGAAAGCTACGAAGAAGATGTAAGCAATCCAAAAGGTTACCCAACACGTGTTTGTTGGCCCATCGCTTGTCCCACAGTCATTCTGAACAGGGCAGACTCCACGAAAGCCATAGCCTGAAAAAAACTGCTTAGATTGGCTGATTGTACAGGAAGGCTAAGAAGTAGGTAAGGGCGCGCACGAAAACGCTGTTGGGCTGCCGAAACTATTGGCGCAGCAAGCCAGCAGATTGATGCCGTCGAAACAATACAATTGGTGCACCCACCTCAAAGCTTCTTTCCTTCCGTTAAAATTGTGATTAGTCAACGCAACGTATCGCGTCGAAAAGGTGAAAGTAAGGAGAGAAATGAAAGAAAGAAAAAAATGAGGCTTAGCACTAACGCAATCAAACCCGCTACTTGTCATTGCCGAAGAAGAGTCGATGATGAAGAAAACATCGAGCCAAATATTCGCTGGGGTGCACGGGCACTCATCCGATAATGACTCAATAGGTTCACTTTCCTTCGATTCCTACAATGTAATTTATGTTATGTAAGGCAGGACCTCTTTTCTTTCGGCTTCTCTATAATAATACATAGATGAAGGGTGTTCAACAGATTCATATATCTGAGAATTCTTCGCCTTCTAAAAGACACCTATTCTAAATTGCTAAATAGTGTAGCTTCGAAGGTGTATTACCATATATGTATTGAAAATTAAAGGCAGTGTTAGCGGTAATTCGATGTTGATCAAATACAAAGTTAGACGTACAAATTGATGCGACAGCGGAGAAAAAACTGGAAAATTTGTCAAAGCCAATCGAATGGGACCACTATTTTGTATGGCAGTTTCAGAATAAGACACATTAGTCGGTTCGTGTACTTTCTTGCTATTGGTCCCAATTTGTCGGGCTCACCACCTTTTCTTTGTACATACAACTGTAATGAGACGGTAATTTGTGATGGGCTTTCTGATTTCGCATGTATGGGCTTACATTCTTTACATACTCCCTCCCTTACTTATTTCCCTCCCGGCTTTAAAATTGGAATTTTTGAAGGGTCAGTGTTCTGAATGTTAATGGTGCTTGCTAGTTTAGGCGAAATCGCCTTACCTTTTCCTTGCTATATGAGTGAAATCGGCTTACCTTTTCGGCCACCACTTGCCCACTGACCGTTGGTGCAGGAGGAATTGACGTGTTCGGGAAAAGTGTCACTTCGACCATGTTAGCAGCATCGTTACTGACGACAGTATTAGAGTTCACAAGTACCTCACTAACGGCAGGATTAGGGTTTAGAATTTCAGTTACGGTAGATTTAGCGTTCAGAACTACATCACTATCAATTGCATTGGCCATCGTAGGTATGGCGTTGGCTATCGTAGGCATGGCATTGGCTATCGTAGGCCTGGCATTGGCTATCGTAGGCCTGGCATTGGCTATCGTAGGCCTGGCATTGGCTATCGTAGGCCTGGCATTGGCTATCGTAGGCATGGCATTAGCTGTCGTAGGTAAGGCACCAGGGGAAGCTTTTGCGTACAAATGTCTCTTGCCTGCAGCAACGTTGACCGTCCGAGGTGCGTTACCAACAGCATGGGCGTTCAGGAGCCCTGGAAATTTGAAAATTGAGGTCCTTATTAATATCCACTTACAATGTTGTCAAAGTCACAGTGGTACGATTTATTTTGTTTTAAAAATTTCTGTTATAAGATCTTTGTTATTTTGGGAAAGAACAAGTGTTGACGAAAGGCAGTTCTTTCAGTCCAAAGATATGCTCTGTAATTGAATAGGTGAGGGCTGTTGTACTTGGAATGTAGCGGTGGAACCTTGTTTGCTGGCAATGAGAACAAAAATCTGCCCAAAAACCATTGCGCACTGGTCGTTCGAGCAGGATTGCACTCCGCCTGCAAGGCTCTCCTTGAACAATCTTTGCCCTTGAATGGTAAAATGCGGCGAGTAAATGGATGGAATCAAACAATTAGGCTCCCATAGAAACAAACCTTTCCCTCTTATTAGGGCGCAGTGTGATAAACCTCGGAAGTTTTTTGTTTCCCTTCATTATGGATGAACCAGTCACCAGAGCACTCTCATTTCTGGGAGCAGTGCCACACACCTATTCAATCGTGGGTTGTGCCTTTAGGTCTTGTTTTCAATACTCGAGTGTGACGCGGTTTTTTTCCAACGGCACTGAAATAAAAAATTGGATGTTCAGCAAGGAAAGCTCTTCCCACTAGACGGAAAGTCTCCGAAGAGATCAGAAGTGGCACATTGTGTGAGAAGGCTTGCAACCACCTAATAAGGCCTCGCAGATGGCTTTTTAACAGAAACACGAAGACTCTTCCGATCCATACCAGGCTCAAGTTCAGCATAATATGGTTAATCATTATGGTGTTTGAAAAGTATAAGACGCCATGTTCCTGAGTGTAAAAGTCAAGAAGGGGGTTTTACTAGCCCATCACTTCAGAGAAAGATACAGCTGGGATATGTGGTAACTGAGGACAAAAGGTGTTCTGAGCTTGACAAGCTTTTAACAGGCTTTCGACGTCCAACGACAAAGTCACCAGTGCGCCGCAGAGTCAATAGCAGTGTCTCGCCACGTTTTCTGGAGCGTAACTTGAGAGCATCAACCGAGCTAAATAAGCCTTCTGAGATACTGCTCTCGAACACCTTCACATGAAGTAGTCCATCGTAGATCGCAAGGGGATGAAAGGTCAAAAATCCTTGCTTCAGTGGCCAGGTAGTGCGCGTCCGGAACGGCATTTATCGATTTGAAAGTTTATCAGGGAGCCTATTTGTGAACAGGCGGTCTTTGAGCAGAATGCTCTTCAATCCAGAACAACATACCGTAAATTAATACAGTCTTTTACAAAACCTTGGCACAATTTTAACATTTTCTGATGAACACCAATGGAGCTGCACTTTTGGATGTTACCCCGTCACAAACTACCACACCTTCGGAGAAAGTCTGTTGTGAACCAAACGTTATCTCGGAGACTTGCTCTCACTTTTTGGCAACAAATGCCTCTGACTTGTGTGGTCGCAAAGAAGTTTGGTACGAAAATTTTCTCATTGGCTGAAATCGTAAGGATAGATGTGGTGTGCCTCGAGCTCGCATTGAAACTTTTTTGCATTTCATCTTCAATTCGGATTGCTTCAGTAACAACCAGTATAGATGGAGACGGCAACATCAGAATAGAGCTGGCACCGCTGTGAGTGGCCATCTTCTACGTGATTGCCCTAATTCTCTGAGTGTGCACCGTTCTCGACCCTGCACTTGTTCAATTTAAGTTCACACTCTAGTTCAACTGGAACACGAGAAGAGAGGATAGAGCTCATAATCGCATATTATCGTGACAGCCATGCGTTTTATATTCCTTTTATGGGTTTCTCATAGCGAATCAGGGACGTCAGACCTTGTGACATGTTTGCATTGCTCTGGCTCTCTGCACGGTCGTTCTGCTTGCGAAAGTCCCAGTTTTGCACGGGCCTTGTTCACGCACCTTGCAGAAAGCGACAAATGTAGCTACCTTCTCCTTTGTTTCCAAAAATAGTGCGAATTGAGCGTATTTCTACACATAGTGGTCGGAGTTGTACTCATACCTAATTACATGTCAGGATACGGAGTGAAATGAGCGTCGAATCTCTTTATCGACCATCTGTTTGATACCTTTGTTGGCCTATGCTCTTTTCTTTAGGTAACATGGAGAGTATGGTATCGAGCTCATAACCAGGATTTCCTTTTGAGAACAGAAGTGGGAAGATCCCACCAGTGAATTTATAGATATTTGTAATACGGTGAAAAGTTGTCCCACCCAATACTAGGTCTATCCATAATCTAGGCCACTTTCTATTTGATGCTATGTAATTTACCTGAAAAATCTTGGAGGTTCAAGCAAGGATTTCACCGTGGTATCCACCGTGACCATCCTGAGAACCTAAGCAGCTGATCGCGCTACATTTTTCGACTATGGCTTCAATTTTTCTAGAACCTATTTCAGTGCCTTATTTTTCATGAGTATCTTTTATGGTCTTCCCAAGGGTTGCTGCGCGAGCATCTTAGCATAAGATCAGTTAGGAAAGGCTTTCTCTTGGGGTCTTTCGAAGGCTAGGCTGAGCAAAGTTCTACCACAAGATCAGTGAGGGGAGGAAAACGAAGAGAAAAGTTGGAGTGAGGGGAGGCTCTCTCAAAACACGGTGCACTAGTATGACACTCTATTCGCGGTTGGCTTTTCTTATCGAAAAAGGCCTACCGATTGGAAGCCCATGACTAGCAATGTCGAGGCTCTGCCTTAAGAAGGAAGCTGAAGGCTAGACTTTTTTTCGGCGGAACTCTTGCATGTTAAAGGTAATTACAACGGAACTTCTCCACAAAAGCTGCAAAATGTGACAAAAAATAACATCAGACAAATGACGTTAGACACTTGCTGACCTGCACCCACTACAAACATCCCTATATTTCTCCTGGTTTGTCATCCTTCAATTAGTTATCTAGTGTAACAATCGACACGATAACTGTTCCAGCGGTTTCCAAACTGTCTGTCAGAATTCAACCCCATCTAAGTCATGTGTTTCCAAACTTGCGGTGGAACACTTAAGAAGCTGCGCGCTGAGAGCCCCTTCTTGCTGATCCTATTGCCAATGCGGAAGTCAACTGTCTACAGCTTTATTGCAATGGTTTTGAACATTAGATCAAAGGAAAACGGGACAAAGTATGACAAAGTTTTTTTGACACCCTCAAAATTTCAATTTTTCTGCCCTCTAGCTCACTCCATCAAGAAGAAAGCTCATGATAACTGATCTCGAAAATGACATCCAGTCTTTCTTCGACCAAAAGTTCGATATTTCATAAGAGGATAGTGAGCTGCTGCTCATGCATTGGCAGTGGATGTAATTGATGAAGGTGTTCCGTACTACTTTAACAAATATCAGAAAGAGGCAAAATAATGAAAACGAAAAACAGTTGAAGTGGAGTTATGGACCGACCCAATATCTGAGCGAGTTGAGCTCAAGATTTCCATAGAATAACGATACTAGGTATCCCGCTTCGAATTTATCAATTACTACGGCGCTTCTCCAGAGCGGTACGCGAATATTAAATTAGCAAGAGCGATTGCCCTAACAACTGCATGTGGAATAGGGTTTGCGGGTTGAGCCTCCACCACCTCGGGTGCTGAGGCATCATCCACGAGTGGAACGCTTGATAATCGAATAAACTACTGGAGACTGCTCAGGTTCTTCTCTCAGCGTCGTTTGCCACGATCGAAAGGATTTTCTCAGCAAGAGTTGAAAGCACAGAGACGCACATCGACGAATCCCCTCAAGGCACACAAGAAGCTGGCGCATCTGTCCATGCCAGACATCATTGAACTTCGAGGAGTTGGTTACAGTGTTGATTTGAGGCCCCTTTCAACAAAGAATAGAAAGTCTAGAAATTTTCATGTCCGGTCTTCTTGTCTGAGAAAGTCTAGAAATTTTACTTGCCAAAGGGCTTTCTCCCGCTTTCTTTCTCACTGAAGGAAGGGCCTTCGCATTTCTGTAGAACTGATGAAAAAAATTTCAAGTGCTTGTAGAAACTTCATCCATTCGGCAAATAGGCATCGAACATGAGCTGTCACATATCTTCGGAAAATGAAACTTTAGAAACCGTACCTGCAAGAAGTACTAACAACGAGGTGAAGCGATGCATGAGAAATTTCGCTCGCGTTGATGATTCTGGCGTTTTTATGTCGTCGAATCAAAGTGTTTCGGAAGCATTCCGAAGGCATAGATGCATGCAAATTTTGGGAACTGTACCGTTTATTTGATGCAATATATTCCCCATAATTTAAACGGAAATGGGAGTTTGCGAAAAAATTTTTCAGATCTATCGTTCGCGTTCACTTTTCGGAATCGACGGTAAAGCCGCATCATATGTAGATTTCGAAAACTGCGAATCTAAATTCCAATGTTGATAGCGGAAATTTCCACTGGGGGTGGACATCTAGTGAACAAGTTGTTGATCTTTACTGTCCTATGTGGTTTTTTATTCTGCTTCTCGAACATATTCCATATTACCTTTAAGGATTAGACATGAGCTTCTGCAGTTCTCTTGGGAAGAAGTTCGTTTGTCCAACTCTCAAGAATAACGTCCCAAAACGAGGTGGTGTAACCTTCACGGAGTTCTATCAACTGCGCACCTTATTCCATCAAGCTGTTGCTGCCAAGACTCCAAAACTTACCGGGCTGCGGTTGCATCAAATCTTCGATGAAGTCATTGTTGTCGGACCGTTTCAAGAACTATTTCTCCTCCAAAAAACGCTGAAAAGAGACGAGTACGTGATAGCGCATAGGGTTGAGTCAAGAGAATATGACTGGGGAAGGCATCAGTTTTCTGTAAAGCAGCGCGTTTCTTTACATTGCGGGGGATGCGTCATCACAAGAGAGAAGACTTCTTCTGGTGCCCAGGACCACCGATGAGGTGGCAGTACCATCCGCTTCTCTTCAATACCAGTGGATGCCAAGGTCAAAGATGTACCCCGTTTATTACTGCCCTCCAACACAATGCGGGAACCTGTGAAGGTTGGTTTTCTGGCCTCTGTTCAGGGTGATAATCTATCTTATGGTGAGACGATGGTAGACGTTGCAAATCTGCGACTCCTAGCAGGTCCATCGTTTCGCCAGCGATTGGAGGTTTCTCGAGCAATTCAAGTTGTGCAAGCGATGCTTCAGCGATTTGCTGGTACATCGTTAAAATTGCTGGCGAACCGCCCATACCCCTCGGATTGCAGTTATTCAGTGGATTCGTTAACGAATCCAGGATTAAGCCAAGTATGACACTGGCCTTATGGAAGAACTGTGAGCTTCTGTGACTGTGGTGCTATGGAAACTTCGTGATCTCCGAGGGATCACCCTAGCCCATCATGTTGGCCGTGCACTTCGGGCCCCTTTTCGCCCAGCAGTAAAGTATCAAATATTGACTGGAACTTGGAAGGTAGGAGTGGAAGTGAAAAGTTTGCGATGAAGTAACAGTACGTTAGCACTGATGAGTTGTAATATTATGGCGTTGCAAGACTTTTGCAACCAGCGATTGGGCGCATGCGAAATCAAAAGAAATGTCAGAAACTTGTCGGACACCCCACTGCTCGTTTCATCGTGCTTATTCGTTCTGTTTCATAGAAAATTTGCCTCAGGAGTTCTTTATTGCATCTTAGGGTGGTTTTCAGAATAAAACACATAACCCGTTTAACACAATGCAATTCCAAGAAGTATGGGCTATTATCACGCGCGAAAAGTGTGGGAATAACGATTTACGATGAATTTCAACAAGGAAATAAAGAGAGGCACACGAACGCAAGATAAACAGTAGCGATCTATAAGTCTGGAATTTTTTCTTTTCTGACAACATGCTGACGAGGAGAGAAGTTATCTCTAATTTCAAGAGTAGAGATGAAGTCCAAGAAAAAAACAACGGCGTGATGGACCAAACAAATGTGGTTAAAGCAACAACAACAGATCGAATTGGTGGGGTAACAACAGTTAATAATGAAATCGTTGATGACGAGTTGACCGAATATGAAAAAGGAAGCACAGCAAATCATCGATTCCACCATCCCGCTCGTTTTTGAATTCGGTGCTCGCTGTTATCCATGCTTCGTGTCACAGAGCGTGCAAGGTATCTCGTCCTTTAGCTCACAATGACCGTCTTTACTTCACCTAGCGAAAAGGTCGCGCTTTTTTGAGCGGCGTCAACGGCACGGCTGTGATACGCGCAGGATATTTGTCCTTCTCACAGATGGTTGTTCCACACGAGCTCGTCTGGGCTCAGCCTATAAGAAATAGCTTTACATTTAGTCACGCTTATTTTGAGAGCATCCACGAATGATACGCTTGTGCCGCCTACAGATATCCTCAAACAGAAATTATCTTTTCGGGTTTTCTTGGCACTTGAGGCTTTCAAACGTGGGCTGGAGCTGGTACATAGCTTGAGAAATTCAGCAGAACGCGTTAATGAACTTTGAGAAGCCCACCTACTCGCACTCCTGCATTTGTCCTGAACTGAGGGATCAAGCACAATGAGGTACGTTGTCCTTGTTCCACGCTTTAGAGGAGAATAAGAGGCAGATGAGAGATGATTTGTACCAAGATGGAAAAGAATCCTCCCAGACGATAGAGGACGCAGATCAACGACACTGTGCAAGCGATTTGTCTTTTTATATCACAATGTGCTCATAAACCAGCAGGTGGACGGGCCTGCGTATGGCGCCCAATAATGTCTTTTCTAAAGCATTTGCCGACGGCACCTCCCACTGCGCCTTTTCATTTTAGTCGCAACATTTTGCTTGCCCTAGACTGGGTTGTGTGTTTGAAGCCACAAGTCAGGACCAAGTGTCCCGAGGTAGTTCCTCGTAGAGGGAGAAAAAGAGGTAAACCTAGGAGCTGCAACACTGCTGCAATACAAAGGTGTGAGATACGTTGAGGTTTTCTATCCCGCCCTCCGCTACAACGTCTGCAGCTGTTGCGCTTTGTCTACGAAATGAATAAAATGTTTCATAATGCGTTCCGACATCGCACAGCATGCGCTGCGAGTCGTCTGCTAATCTGTATGCGTCTCTGCCTTGTCGTCGCGTAACGGTTCTCCTGTCGGGAACCCAGCTCTGTACATCTTCTTGCTGGAATCGACGAAAAATTTACGCTTTCACCACTAGACATGGGGCTTTTTCAGACCAGTACTAGGGGTCAAGTTTGGTGATCTGCAAACAATCTTTTGGGCGTGGCACTGCCTAATTTTCTGCCGGAATGCCATTTTTCTTGCTACTGCAGGTCTGCTCATCTGTAAAG